TGTCATGCGACTTACTTGTTTTAGTTTATATTTATTTACATTGAAAAAGACTCAAGTCAGAGTCGAAACGTCTGTACATTAAATCAATTAACTATATAACAGAACTTATTATAATTTTTTCTAACACCTAAGTATTTTGGCTCGATTTGACCTAACTCTCTTATTTATATCTAATATTTAATATTTTTATTTAAAAATAGAGTCTGACTTCTGCAAATAATAAGCACAAATATTACTCTTTGTAGAACATAATATTTCTTCAATGGCTGTAACACGAGTAGCAAGTTGAAGAATCTTCTTTATCAACATGGCAATGATTTGTACAACATGGTAATGATTAGAAATCTATACAAGCTATATAAAAAGTACCAGTACTGCAAAAATTCTCGAAACTTTGGCATTTTACGAAAAAGTGTTTCAGATAAAAGTTGTAAGGGTGAAAAGGATTTATTTACTGGTCTTATCAGTTTGACCTTGAATGACATCGCCAAAGTCAGAACAAGATTACCTTGAATTTTTTATATAGAATATCCTATTTTTTTATTATATATTCTTGTAGCCCTTCTTCAGATCTTTTCAAAGCAATAATAAAAATCTTTTCAAAGCAATAATATAATTGTATCCACTTTAAATAAATTGTTTTGATGTTATCAAACTGGTAGAATGATAAGTACACGACTAAAAGAACATCAGTCGGCAGTACGTCTAAAACATTACTCACAATCGGCATTAGCAGAACACCATTTGGAAACTGGTCACAAAATTATGTTTGACCAAACCCAAGTACTAAACAAAACTAGGGCTTACTTCCCTAGAAAATATACAGATTCTTTGGAGATATACAAACATCCAAACAATCTCAATAGAGACAATGGACATATGACTAGTTCACTATGGCATTCTATCTTGCCATAAATACATCCTCCCCTCCTTCTTACCATTCCACCCCTCCTCCACCACACCCCTTCCACTTCAATCTAGCGCTATAAAAAGGGACACCTGACCAAGAGCATCTCAGTATCAGGCTGCTTTTCAAACCCTGATGAAGTGAGCTGTAATGTTCACGAAACGTCGGTATAAAAATGACACTAACGCGGTTCAAACCCGAAAAAACATCTGTGTATGTTAACTTTTTTTTACATTTAAAAAGAACTAAGTTAGTAAAGTTATAGTAAATTAAAATAAATTGTTCTTTTGTTTAACTAAATTTTTGTAATATGTAAAAATTGACGTACCAAAGTTTACTCTGTGTTACTTTTTGATATCACTTTTTTTGTAATGTAGTTATAGTAAATTAAAATAAATGAAAGAGTTAATAAAAGTAAATATTCAAAATAAGCTCCATGAACCTCAATGCACATTTTTGCACGTATTTTAGGCGACAAACTTATCGGTCCTACTATTTTACCAGATACTTTGACGGTAATAATATTACAAAACGTACACGGTGTCGGAAAATAAGACTTTATTTATGATATTTCTTTTGTTTATAAGTTTGTAACGAACAACGAGCGACGACTAAAAGTTGCAGATTGTTGTTCAAGAAGGTGTCCTTGACAACATATGTCAAGCTCATTGACTTCCGAGAGTGCTCCGGTTTTATACATATTTACCGTTGTTGTCTAAGAGTCAAAAGAATATTAAATAAATTAAATCAAACATAGTCAAAATGTAAATTACATTTAGGGGGGTATTCGGGGTCTTTCATATATGTGACGCAAAATTAGTATCCTATGTGATTTTAAGAATTGAAATTTCAATTCAAAAAGAAAAATTTACACGTGAATGCATATATGTATATAAATGTATACATATATATATATATATATATATATGTATACGCACATTTTTCCGCACAACATCCTGCGATCGGCTGTTAATGACCGGACTTACATATATTTAATAGTCAAAATGTCACACTCACGAAATAAATACATAAGTATACTTAGTTAAAAGAAGAATAAAATACTAGTGACAATTATTTCACAGCATAGATAAAAAGTACACTATGCTATACAACTCTAAGAATTATCTTATAAATAATAATGAGGCAACCAGCGCACATTGTGTGCGCGCGCGGGAAAGACTGGGTTGTCCTTACGCTGGATGCACGCTGATTCACGGATCTTTATTAATTAATATCTTGTTAATTATTGCGAATCTTCCAAAGGACTTTTGGTAAAGGACTTTTCGTCTTAGAATAACCACTTTTACCTGTTTACGAGCGGTGAGACGACAATTACGGGACACTCTGTATATATACATATATATACAGGGTGTCTCAGAATTGTAACATCTCTTGTGAACAAATAGAAGGAGTAAAACTGAATCAAAAAGTCCTACATCATTTTGCTAGATTTGCAATAGTTACCGAGATCTTAATTAACAAAGATCAGCGAATAAGCATGCATCGGACTGTCTTACACGCGCAAGACAGTCCAGTGCGCTTCGCGCGCTTACGGTGTTACCCGTAGCAACATATGGAAGGAGCTAATATAATAAGCATATACTGTAACATATACATAGCAAAATGTAATCTTGCGAAGCGCGCCGGGTTGTCCTACGCGCGTAAGACAGCCCGATGCACGCTTATTCGCGGGTCTTTGTTAATTAAGATCTCGGTAACTATTGCAAATCTAGTATAATAATATATAGGACTTATCGACCTAACTTCCCAGATAACCAAGGCTGAATGAACATATTTTGCAAAGTCTGGAATAACAGATTATGTCGCCAGCATTCAAAACATAGTCTGCTATTTCAAACTAGTATTGACAGAAAAGCTGAAAAAAAGAGAATATAAATGTATCACGCCGTGATGCAAATAATACAGCAACAATCAAGCAGAACGTGCCGATACAAATTGAGCATATTTAAAGTATAACGTGCTAACACAATATGTCGACAGAAAGCATTGTTGAAATGAAGAATTTATTCATCGTCACTACATAGTAGCAAGAAAGTATTTTAAAACTGAATTTTTGTGCAAGCGCGTTATAAGAGCAAAAATATGACAAAAATGAAATGTGAAGATGGCACGTCAAATATTAACAGCAGAAACATAGCAGCTTTACGTAACAACAAAAATAAGACTGCAGAATAATTTGACATTTTCTTTTTAAAATATTTTATATATATATATTAATAATGTAATTTATAACAGGTGTTTTTTAATAATAATTTTTTTATTATTTTTAGTTTTTCTCATTAATAGCATTTTGTTCATATAGAAAACTAACAAACTAATCGGCTACATATATAATAATAAACATAATTTTATTAATTAATTGACCAATCATCATGACACTCGCGCGATCAGTTACAAGTTCTACAATCTACAAATTTCACCTTTTTATGCGTTCTGTTTAAGCGTTCTACATTAAACGCTACAAGACGCAAACGCAAATCGGAAGTCACGTGGAATTGACAAATCACATTGATCAGATAAATCAGATAATTGACCAACGTGATTGGGTAATTCCACGAGACCTGCTGTTTGCGTTCGTGTCTTGGGCCTGGATGTAGAATAGGCTTTACAAAGAGATGCGTTAACGAACGCTGAGACGCTTAAGAGGATGCTGAACCGATGGCAAAAGTTTGCTCAGCTGCTACTCAACCGCTATGCTATCGGGTAGGTGGCGCCATCTCTCGGGACCGAATCAAACCAAAACAAAGATAGATGACATGAGAGAGCCAAGGATAGACATATGTTTCTCTCTGACGCTTCTGATAAAATTGTACTAATCGTATTTCCAAGTTTTCTTGTCTCACAAGGCTTCAAAATCTTTTTTGAAGCACTCAAAATATT